ATAAGATCTGCTTTTCTTCTTTCTTGTTGATTTCAAATGGTATTGATCTAATTGGTATTGCTGGAAGTTAATAAACCCTGTTATACCTTGTATAAGGAGCAGTTTTCTGCGATTTCTCTGTTCATATGTACCGTGATGGTTCATATGTAGGGTAATGGCCCATTATTAGTTTATTTTGTGAATCCTTAGTGATTTTTAATAATTTTATTGATGTCAATGATTTAATTTCACACCAGCTATTAACTGAAACAACACTACACTGTTCCCAACAGTCCAAGACAACTATTGTTGTAATCAAAGATTTCACCACAACTGTCAACTTTCATATGGAACTGCCCAAACTCACACAGTGTACAAGAGCCTTGACCCATTATCCATTTCCTGATTTTCGTATAAGGAAAGAATCCATTTCCTTGATGTTTCCTAAGAAAAAATGTTTCATTTGGGGTCAGAAAACATCACCGATGATGCCCTTGTATGTGAAGAAATCCTTTTTCTGAGACACAGGGCAGATGTTCAGGGATCAACAATACAGTTGCAGTAGGCAAAAGGTCGTGAATTAGTGTATGCTGGATGACATGGGATTTATGTTTTGTTTTTGTATTTTACTGCTGTTTACCAGGTCCTCCAGGGTAAACCTAACACTATTGATTACAGTCCTCCATAAATTTTACTGTCTGGAATGTTATAGTGGTTAATTGTTTGTAAAACTCACAGTTTGTGGTGTTGAACTGTTTGGTATTGTACGGAGAGGTGTTTCTAAAATTTTGTCCACTCCAATTACAATTTTTAGGGCACTTTGCTACCAAGCTGCAGGATTTCAATCCCCTTCAGTCCTTTCACAAAGCTGCAAAAATTGGGGCCGGTCACTTTGCACACCTCTCATGTCTTGTTTTTTTGTCATGTTTCGGGACATTTGAGAAGAGCGAAACGGTCGCGGTTGCCAACAGCGCCGGAGACAACAGTTGGGCCGCGTCTCTTGTCCTCAACTTGAGCCGGGCGTCCCACAGGGCCCCGACTATCATAATGACTTGTAAACAGAAGGGACGGCGGCTCGGTGTCAGCTCACATAAGTGTGCTGGGAAAAGCCTCAGCGTCATCCAATTGAGCCCCGCAACAATAAACACAGCATGAGGGGGGGGGGACAAGGAAAGGTGGGAGATCGTTGACTTATCATCTCCATGGCAGAAAGTGTGCAGACACAGAGACTGGGTCAGGCTGAACTTGGCATTCATTCTGTGTGATTGTGTGCACTGTGTGCTCTTGCACCTCCATTGAATTTAAGACATTCAGAGAATATCTGATAATATAAACTAGTGTCATAAGTTGAGTTCAGTTTGTTCATTCAAACTTTTTACTACTTATTTCCTCTTCCTCTTCTGTGAGAGACGTTGCCGCAAACATTGTGAATGGAAATGTTTTTTGTTTCAGAGGTAAACCAATTAAGTTGCATCGTCGTCACTCCAGATGGCTGAAGCTTGTTGTTTGTATTTTTTTTTTCCTCTTGCGAGCCTCGTGGGAGTCTGCTCCGCTTTAACAGTTACTGTAATTCCCCCAGAGCACTATTAATGCAAAATATAAAACTTAACACATCAATAAACACCACCAGCTGAGCTTCCTGTAAAGATGCACCTCCCAAACACCTTTTGCTGTCAACCTTTGGGAAACACTGACGTTACATGGAGACAAAAGGCAGGATGAGGATCTCTGATCGATGCCACCCGCAGCAGTCTTCAACCAGCTGTAAAACATTTCACAAATCGGATTTAGACATGACAGGCTTCTAATGAAATTACCCTTTTGTCAGACATGCTAAAGGCTACAGCATTACAGTGAACTGTGCTCTCATAGGTTGAAGTAAAATACAACAAGATGCTGCTGCTACCGTCACCGACTGTCCAAAGAACGTAATGTTGCTAAGCTGACTGCCTGCAGCTACAGGAGGTCACAGGGCAAAACACTGTTGGACTAAAAGAACAATAGTTCCTTTTCTGTGTGTGAAAGTGGAGGCTGTACAGTAGCTGCAGTAGCTGTTTCCATAATGGTCACTATAACTAGCAATCCTGCCATGTCTACAACTTCTATCATTATTAAATGACATTTATTGTATTTCTGTTGCATCTTCTTGATATTCTTAAATCTCCATATCCATCCAACTTATTTAGAGTCCTTAATTAACCTACACAGCCTGTCTTTGGTCGAAGGGAAAAAGGCCAATCCGGAGGGAACCATCGCTACCATGGGAGTAATGGGCAAACTCCCCCCAGAAGGACCGTCAGGCTGCCATCGAAGGCTAAACCCGACCCCTTCTCGCCGCGAGGTGACCGTGCTAACACAACTTAGAAGCCCTGAAACTACACGGGATTAAAAGTAATGTTGTTTAGCGTGTTAGGGTGCTTTAGCTTTTCAGTAATCGAGAGTGTGTGTGCAATCTGTTGATGTATCGCACACATTTTGGAACCCACACTGTAATTGTTCCTTTAGTTCACGGCATCTGCAAAGCACCTCGCTTAAATTCTTTGTAGGGAGTGCTGACAGACAGTTGTCACCAGCGGTGCTGTCACAGTTATTACAGCAATCCATCAAAGCCGTTATCCATTTACAGGTGAGTCACATCAGACAATGACATCAGATTAGATTACTACAGTGAAGATGACGGGGTATATGTGGAACAACCAGCCAAACAACCAGACCGTATTATTAAAACAGGCTCAGTCCACAGGACGGTAATCAGTTTTTGAAAATATCTCAGTCAAAACTGTGACTTCAATATTGCTGCAGGGTGTGAGTCAGCAAAGTGCAGCAGTGTGTACATGTAATCAGCAGGGACCGACGTGTCTGTCATACAGTCTCACCTGCCTCAATCACCATGTGTCATATCGACCTGCGCTGGTACCAGCAATGCCTGGAAAATGTGGCTCTAAAGGCTCTAAAGTTACAAACTTACCTACATAACTATCACCAGTTAGGGAACAAACATAAGACACTAGACATTAAAAATGACTTGTTTTAACTCACAATCTTTTCCTCAACTTAACCAAGTAGTTTAGTTGCACCAGTAAACGTAAAAAATAGTTCAAGGCCATTGACAAACGTTGGCACGTGGGAGTGTTATTCACTAGCAAGGACCACGGCATCCACTGCAGGCGTTTCTCGTGAGTGAACGTGTAATGGATTGATTGATTGATGATTGATGATGATTTCATCTGGTCGGTCAGGCTGGGTTGTGGGGAACTATGTCGGAGGGTCCGTCCTGCGCCTGGTGGCACAGCGGACCCCTTCAGGGCAAAGAGGGAGAGGAAAGAAAAGGAAGGAAAAGGAAAAGGGGTTGGGAGGGTGGGGTTGTTGTGAGTGCGATCGCGAGGGACGAGTAGAGTGGGTTGAGCTGTATTAATGGAAATACCGGAAGGGGAGTGTTGGAGGCGTGTTCCTCCTCACAAAATACGCTGATTAGCTTCACTCTGGTATGTGGAGGGGCTCAATGTACTCAATGTACACACGTATACGAGAACAAAGGGACTCATGCGATCCTGGTGCCTAACTGCCCATCTATGCTTTGACAGCGATCAAAACTCTACATAGCGATCGGGGTTAATGTTAAGGATGATGTCACATTGTGATCTACTTAAAGTGCCACACCAGGAGATGAAACAATAACGTTGCATATCACCACACAAATACGACGTCAGTGAAAATGATCATCGAGACAGGATGCGTTGCTGTTGGATGGTGCAGCCTGAACACGGAGTCCGTCACCGCAAAACATGCCAGACAAGAGAGCAGCGCTGCCGAGGGCAGCAGATCATAACAAGGCGCCCGCATGATAACAGCTTCCAGCCCGCCATCATCCGCTCAGCCGAGTCATGAGACTGGACCCGGGAACATGATCCGTTTTCCATACATCTTTCTGCTGGGTACACATTGCTGCACAATAGCTTCCTCTCATCTCAGCTTTCGCTCGGCGAGTGCAGCTACTGGCTGTGGCAAGCCGGTGGCGAGCTTCGGTACAGTGACAGGAGAGCGGCGCTGTTTGTAGGCCAGAAATCCTTCCATTCAAGATAGATCGCTTTCAAGGGCTCTCAACATGGTCATTGGGGCCCCGCCTCAGTGATGGGAATAACACGTGACAATAATCCAGGCCAAACATAGTGTAGATGTACGTGAAAACATTTCAAAACCCTACATCCTATTAAGAATATAGAGAGACAAACCAAATAGAGATGGACACGGAAGTGAGAATACAACATTCAATAAAGCAGGAACAGAAAGAAAGATTTAAAAATAAAAATGGAAACGGGAAAGACAATACTGCTTGTGTCTGCTGAAAGAGAGAGAGACGGAGAACGGAGCCAATGTTAAAGAGAGAGATTGCAGGAGAGATGGATTCCAAAGGTAGATGGGGAAAGGGAAGTTTGGGGTCCCCTAATTGAACTGCTGCCCCCGCGACCCGACCCCGGATAAGTAGTTGACAATAAGATGAGAGGTACATTAATAACTAACATTCAGATATTAACATTTTAACACCGTGCAACAACTCTCTGAGAGACCTGCAAGTTGACCTGTTCTGGATTCTTTGTTTCAGGATAGAAGCACATATTGGCATTTTATCGTTTTTGATGATTTTGTGGATTTACAAAATTTCCGTGAGAGAACACGAAAAACCTCGACATTGTGTGTGTCCTTCGTTCAGCCTTCGTCAATCACAACTCGTACAACACTTACGCTCACGGTCACTTCATTTGGAATTGACGTCCCGTTTAGCGGCTGCATGGGACGTACCGGGCTAACCTAACTTCTTTTTACAGCATAAGTTTGTTTTGAGAGGACACTTGAATCTAGAGATTGTTACATAGTGTAACAATCTCTAGAGGCACTGAACATGCGTCAGTTGAAGGGCAGAGATTTTCGTAGGTGCTGTGAAAAATATGCTCATGATGGCACCTGAAACCCCAATTTTTATGAATTTCCTCCCATTTTGGCCAGTTCCCTAATATTTCATATTTTACAGCTATTTCAATTGTCATCATCCTTGTTTTCCAAATTGCATAAATTGTAGGGCTGTAGGAACGTTGTATTCTCCATGTATCCCCACTATGAACGGCAACACAGAGTGTAGAAGACATTTTAGAGGCACAGAGGAAGTAAAGTAAATGGAAAGATGCCAGAAAACATACACACGCTGAGGGATGTTTTACGTTATCTGTAGCAATGAGAGGGCGGTTTGGGTTTGAGTTCCTGCCAAACTTGAGCCTCCACACACAGCTCCCCAAGCAGCAGCTGCTCAAACTGATTGCAGCACAAAACAGCTGACTTTGAACTTCCAGACCTTTTCGTCAACACTGGAACAGCTGCGGCTGAAAAGAATGAAAGGTATGAAAACACAAGTTCTTTTCCTTCCTTGAGCGTCTTTGTAGATCTGACTAATTCCCCAAACTGTTCCAAGACTTCAGATTCATACATGACCTTGTTCACAGCCTGAAAGGCTTCCTTCCTGCTTTCTTACATGAACAACTGCAAAAAATATTTGAGGCATTTCAGGTGCTGTGCCAGACTGGGTAACTTATTGCAGATTTCACTCTACAATACACAGCACGAGCTCAAGAGTTCGCATTTCTTTCATGGTTCTTACTTCCTGTTTCTAAAAATGGGCTCCAGGAAGTGTAAGCTCAATCAACCAGCTCTATTTACATCCACATCTGACTTGCAGCCTGTTTACAGTAAAACAAAGTCATAAAAGGAAACAAAGACAGCCTGATTGGTTATTCATACAAGGTGTACTGCGCACAGTAACAGCAGCTTTGATCCTTTGTGTAGTGAATCAGCCAACAAATCAACAGACTTTATTCCGGGAACATCTTGTTGTCGTACACTTTTTTCTTCTCATGGTTTTCACCATTAAAAAAGAATTATTAATTGCAATGGAAATCTATATTTGTTGGTAGTAAAGTACAGTGTGTGTGTACCAAACACCCACAGCTTCAGTTTGTAGAGCCCGCATTGTCTTTTCAAAATAAAGGTCGGTTTGGTATTTGACGGGTCAGTTCAAAAGTTTTCTCATACAAACATAAACTTGGAAAACCTAAACTATAATCAACTAAATCCCAAAAACTGAGGACAAAAGTTGTTGTTGAGATTTCTACAACCTGTTCTTTTCTTTCACTTCCTGCTTGGTCACCTTTCTCCTCCAAAATTCATTTAAATTGAATTTCCATTACATTCGGTTTTGTGGGAATTAAGAAATGTAACTGAAAACGAGTATATATATATATATACCCACATTGTCTTCACTATCAGCATCTCTAGTGGCTGAGCGATAAGACGCCACCAATGAACCGGAATGTATCCACGTGCTGTTGAAGCTGCTGTTCAGTTTTGGTGCAAGTCTATGGTGCAGCTAGAAAGGCGATACAAGGGCTCATTTGCTACTCCTTAACCTCCTAATGTATTCAGCCTGTCTGTGCTCGACACTCTGACCATCTGTCACACTGAGAAAGTCAGTAAACAGCATGAGGAAGAGGGAAAGAGAACATGAGTGATGTACAAAGAAAGAAGTGAGTTGAAGTAAAGAGAAGTGAGATGGGGAAAGACGCTAGATGTCCAGTGCCCGAGGCAGAGAGACAGAGGGGAAGTCAAAGGCAGGTTGTTAATCCTCGCTGTTCATTTCATGCTCGGGTGGCTGTGCAGCCGTCCATGTTTCAAAGGCCTCGTAAACTCAACATTACGCCCCGCAGGGAAAATTAATGACTTCAATAAAAGTGCCACATTTTCCTGTGACGTTTCCCGCATCGTTCTTTATTGGACAAATCCTAATTTGGCCGTGATCACATCACCAGAGCTTGTTACTGTACTTCTGGAAAGGAATGAATGAGGAACTTTGTGTGTGTGTCTGTGTGTGTTTGTAGATGATGAAGTTATTTCCTTTCCGCAGCGGCCAAAACTCAGGACATGATGTATGATACTGTTTCCTTTTAGCTGAGCACCTGTGGGAACCACAGGTGAAAGATTTGAATTGTTTTCGTGGCAGTGATTTCAAAAAATAATTTGGCCACATTATGAACGCCCACATTTGGTATTGTTTTTACGCCAGGCCCATGAAGTAAAACATTTGACAACTGCAAATCCAATTTGTACCACTAGGTTTTGTTGAACTTCTTTCCCACAGCTGGAACAAAAAAGGATTGCGTGATTCTTCCCTCAGTGTCCCCAAACGGTCCATCTTCAACCATGACCATATGTTGTTGTGGGCGTGCTCTTGTTTTATTTTTGGTCCTTTGGCTTGTGTGGGGAAGGCATTTTCATTCTTTACACGTGGCATATATTGCTGTTTTTTAATAAAACCGCACTAGGCTTTCAACTAACTCCAATTTAAACCCATCTGTGTTCGTATTAGTCAAAGCAATGAACGTAGTAAACGTAGCACAAAAGTGAGAATAGAGAGTCAACGAGTCAAACAAACACGGGACTTCCGCCCAAGAGAGTAAAAGATATACTTATTCAACCCAAACCACGATCTTACCGAGTAGTTTTGTTGTTGGAGTGAACTTTAAAATAAGTAATAACAAGGATGTCCTTGTTGGATTTTAATTTTGATAAGTGACTCATGCAATTTGACTAAAACCAATGCAAGAGGGAAGCCTGGAGCGTCATAACTGGAAGCGTAGGAACATTGACCAAGCTGGCGTGTTTGCCGATAAGGGAGTCGGGCCTGTCGGATCGTTACAAGTTGAGCGTTTGCCCGCTGTCTTCCTTGTGCAGCGTCTGAAGTGTATTTGGACACGGCAGTTTGTTCTCAGCTGCTGCTCTGCACCTCAGGCAAATGATAACCCAGTGGAGGTTTGGATGTGGAGGTGTCAGCAGTTTTAATGGCGGGCTGCAGGAAACCTCCACCCATTTCTGAGGCGCTGCCTACCAGACTAATCCCATCGGAGCGCTGAGTTTGTTATTGTGTGTGTGTGTGTGTGTGTGTGTCACAGGGACAGAGAGGGAGCATGCATATGATTGTCGGAATTTCTGTTGAGTTGAGGGTATGTTGGGGGTGTAGATGAGTGACCTTAGTGAACTTTCAGATAGCAGACCCACCAAAATATAGAAACACATACAAAAAAGTATAAACAATATCTAAATAGCAACCACATTTGAAATCAAAGGATTGAAATCATCAGGTGAGACAAGTGATGTTATATACGTTTGTTTGAAATAAGTTTAAACAAGTTATTCGGTGGAATTTATAATTATGTGTATGAACCAACCGGGGGGAATAAAAGAAGTGCTGAAGAAATATTTGTCTTGATTAATTTTGGTTTAAATGTAATTATTAGTAAGAGCCCAACCAGAAGTTGGTTGAACCTGAAAACTGAAGATGTGGAGTGGCTTCCAGCCCTTCAGAGGTCATGTGAGGGTCATGACCTGGATGTGGGATTACGGTCAGACTCGGCAGCAGTTGGGCTGTGTCATATTGTGTAATAGGGTTACAGTTAGCAGCCATGGAGCGTTTTAACTCAATGAATAGTTAAAGAGAACAAACGTGTATGTGTTTAAGTGTGTCTGCATGGGAGTTTGACAGCGCCGGCCTGCTGCCAGGATGTGGCTGCTTCCTGTTTTGTCTCTTCTCGTCTGATTGGTCTCTCCTATTCTGGTTGCTGGTGTCGAGTGACATAAGGGCACAGAGGGTTGAAGTGTTAGGAATGTTTTTCCTCTTTACTCGTTACACATAACTGCCTGTTTTTATCCACCTCATTGTTGTGCTTCATCCCCGCAGTCCTGTACCCGTCGTCCAGCTGGCTAGCGGTGTAAACTTTTCCTAATACGGTGAGCGTGACGGAGTTATCCGTGTGTCTCCTGATGCTCTTGTGCTTCATGTCCCTTACTCCCGAACATGTCCCACTGGATCTGTCCCCGTTGATTTAAAAACCAAGTATGGGAATCAAAAGGTGGTGTTAGCACGAATGCATCCAGCTAGCTAAACCTTCCCGTGTAGCATCTCTACAGAAGCTTTTGCATGTGTGACTTCCCTTTCACGCCAGTCCGTTTTTTCGCCAGAGTTCTTCTGTCAAACGAGTCTTGGAGGACAGATTTGACCAAGTTTCGGTTGGCTCGCCATTGTCATGCCAATAAAACGGTGCCTCGCAACACTTGCCCTGACGAGAGCGCAGCCTTGAGGCCAAACAACGAAGGCTGAATCTATTTTAGGAAGCTGATTGGCTAAATGATGTATCACACATTTATATCTGTAATCAGTAATTGGCTAAACTGCTTGTTAAACCCGCCTCCTTTGGGTCTGGGCCGAGCCCAGCTGAGACATGGTGACAGGCGCAGAGGAGGTGCAGGAAAAGCCTATATTTGGTACAGATATCTTATTTGACAAAAACGACTGGGTATAGTCCATATTTCAGAAACACAAATACACAAATATTGACAATTTATCAGATGTATTATTAATATTATTTTTTTGGGCTCAAGGTGGGGCCAGGCCCCATGGCCCTCTATGGGCCAGCCGCCACCGTTTAAAGGATATAATCATATTATTAGCTGGAAATGTAAAAACAGAAACACTGGAACTCTCTTCTTGGCAGAATAGATGAGGCTTTTGTATTCCAAAATACCTCAGTATTGTTTAGTATATTTTAAATTTCATTAATAATAAACAGGCTTATCCGTCAGCCTGAGGCTGTAGCTGGCGGTCAGTCAGGCTCCAATCAGTGAGGTCAAATCAGGAGCGCTCAGTAAATCGAACCAGCTGGCATAGTGGGGAAAAGAGAAGTTACAGCAAATTAAAACTGACTCGCCAGAGCATTGTTATTCTGTGTAGAGAAGGTTGAGAGGGGACACGGTGCCATGCTGGATAGCAGTATGTACAACCCCAATGTTCTACTAGATCTGGAATATTGTCATTTTAGGGAATATTAGTGTGCATGTACTGTATTACTGTAAATGTCATAAATGAGTCTGTAATGCACTATATTCAATGACTGAATTACATGCGCATTGTTTTTCCTGAGAATGCTTTATAAAATACATTTTCATTTCTTGAAAAGTAATTATAACTTAAATTGAATTACTGCTTTTGTAACCTGGTCTTAAATCTTAAATGTTCCTTTGAGAAAATTGATAACTTCCTTATTCCTAATCTGACCATTCTACCGTACATTGTACATCAATCAACAGCATTATAGATGTTGGGACTAGACTCTTGTAGGTTTTAGTCATTTGTGCTCTGTCTCCATGCCGCTCCAGCAGGATGTCAGTCCAACAATAATAAATCCTTGAAGACACCAAGACACTCAGTCCTACTACACACTGCAGGAGGAAGTACTGTAGTTCTGGATACAGATTCCAGTCCACAACAATTTCATTTTTGTTTACGGCATCAACAATCTACTCCGATCCGATGGCAATATTTACTTCAATGTTTATGCATATCCATTTCCTGAGATGTAACCAATGATGCCTTGGAGTACGTGGGTGAACTTGCCTTGGTGGGTTTCTCTTGTCTTGTTTGGAGGCGAGAGGGCAGAGCCTTGGGAGTTAAAATATAATATAAATTTCAACTCCAATAAGCTGCAGCTGTATTTCCCCTCCAGCAATTCAATTTAGTATCTCAGACCCTTATGGTGTTCGGTAGATGACGGTCTTTAGTAGAAAACATGTCTCTTTGTGACCGCCTGTGTTTATGTCTGTTGATTTGCTGTCAAATTAGTCTTTTACCATATTTTCACTTTGTCCTCTTTTCATGTCGAGCGGCAGGAGCTGTGATGGTTCGGACTGTCGCCTCGCAGCAAGGAGTTCCTTAACCACCCAGCGGCCTTTCTGTGTGGAGTCTGCATGTTCTCCCCGTGTCGGCGTGGTTTCTCTGCGGGTACCCCGACTTCCTTCCACAGTCTAAAGACATGCTGCGGGTGTCGTGTTAATGAGCCGTAGGTGTGTGAATGTGACGGTTGTTCGTGTCAATGTGGCGGCCCTGCGATTGACTGGCACCTCTCGCCTGATGTTAGCTGGGATTGACTCCAGCAACCCCTGTGACGTGACGTCACACTTGACTGCACTAAATTCTCTTAATAGCATTGCTACTATTACTAGTCTTCACATATGAGAGTAATCCCATAAGGCATTTTACAAATTATTCATCCATATGTCAGCATAATGTATCTGACATTGAAAATCATGCACACAGAGGTGCTGAGACGAACACACACACATACAGCTTGATATTTATTTGACGGATCGTATATCTTTTTGCCCTATTTTCATGAGAGGAAAATCCAATTATGTTTAATAATCTACGTCACTAAAACATCCAATGGAGAATTGAGCAGAAACAGTTAAAAGAGAGAGGGAGACCCTGAGAGCGAAAAACACACATTCCAAATTGCAGACATCCAAATTCACTAAACACACAGACTCAAACACACAAAGGGTCAACTGTTAAAAGCTGTATGCTATTTTCTCCATTTTATGAACATTATTTAAGCATATACAGTTGAAATTGAGAGAAATAGATCTTCTCCTTACAACATTACCATAAAAAGTCAAACATCATCAATGTTTAGCCGTAGCTTGCTAGCTACTAAACTACTAAAACTCTATGATCTTATGTGGTTTTAAGAGCAAAAGCGGCATTTGACCACTAATCTCATGTTGTGTTAAAGCTTCTCTGACCCAAAGCTCTACAGCTACCCACCAAGAAACAAAGAAAAGCCTCGTTATGTCATTGCGGTGTTGACTCAAGAGGGCAGCAGCACATCCATTGAACCTGCCTCCATTTCTGCTGCAGGTGTTTGTCTGAGGAGGAGCCTGAACACACACCTTTACACCTCTGTGTGCGCATCCACTTCTTTCAACTGCTAATCTCTTCTACTGCTGTTGGGTTCAAGCCTCAGTCTGGACTAAAAAGTCTTTTTAGCACGGACACAGTTTCAGGTGTATCAGGTGTTGTTAGGGCAGCTTGAGAGAGTAAGAGATGGGAGGAAGAAATAAGAGACGGAGAAAAAGAGGAAAAATTGATCAAGGAAAAGAAAAGGGAGGGATGAGAGAGACCAAAGAGAGGGAGGTGAGAGAAGTGTAAAGAGAGTGCAGATGATGTGAGGGATGGAAAAGGGGGCGAGCTAAATGGAGACCGAGAATGTAATTTTGGATCTAGGCAAAAGAAAGAGATGAGAAGAGAAGAGTAGAAGCGGAGGAACGTAAAATCAAAGAAGAGGGAGCGATGAGACGGAAACACAACGAAGAAGAAAAGAGAGAGAATGAGAATAGAGGAGAAAGTCATTGATCTTGAAAATAAAATGAGGAACGGTGAGGAAAAGGAAAGTCGATGGAGAGATAACGGTTTAATGGGTGAGAAAGAAAGGAGACAGAGTGAGAGAGAGAGATGTTATCGACCATATGAAAGTGCTGTAATGTCGCCCCCCCCACACACACACACACACACACACATTTTATTTTCCCTCTAATTTGATTAAAACTCCTCCTCCCCGTCTGCAGGTTGTCAGCCGTGTCACTCAACATACCGGCTCTGTTGCGTTACACGGCACATCTGTTCATACCAGGATACATTTTTCCATTTGTGAAACTAAGTTCTGGCGATATTGGATTTTCCCCTACTGATGATGTTTCTTTTGGAAAAACACTGAAGAATAAATATATATATATATATATATATATATATATATATATATATATATATATATATATATATATATATATATATATATATCTAAAAATACCTATAGTCAAAAAGTCCAAAGTAATCATTTCCAAAAACAAAATAGATTATTCACTGCAGTGAGAAACAAAATTCAAACGTTGTTTGCTCTTCAGCGTTTACCCTTTAATAACAGGACCGGAACAATGTTGTTGTTTTTTAAATTGCAACAAAAAAATCAATGCAGTGAAGCAAAAAGAAAGCAATGGTAAAAGGCACTGAACAGAGTAAAATCCATAAGAGCTGTGGAATATCAAACACGAGTCTAACGCTCCCTTCAACTAAACTGCAACTTGGCTTCGAGGTTCGATTTAATTACTAAGGGGATGAAAATCTGATACTCACCTCTGTTCATTCTCACACAACACCTTTTCATGCTACTAATTTATTTCTTAGAGTTCTTGACCCATTCAATCAAAAAGAGCACAAAACTTTCTTATCATGAGTCACTTTGTGAATATCACTGGTAAGTCAAAGAATAGCACACGTGGTAACAGCAAAGGTAGAAGCACACCAGCGTTTCAAAGTCAAAGTTCATAGTCAAACTTAAGTTATTTCTCAAGAAACATAATTGTCTTATTGCCGTGACAACCAACGAAGCACCGGTAGGAAGGAGGCATTGTTGCTGATGCAAGTGAGCGCTCGACACCGGAAAACAGAAGCAGAGTCGCCCGCGGTTAAACCCACCACCCTGCTCAGGCCCCGCAAAATAAAGGTGTAGGTCACTGAACAGAGGCCACTGCCGTGTGGGAGTGTGTATGTGTGTGTGTGTGTGCGTGCCTGCGTGTGCGACTTAAACCATGGTCCCAGGCGCTCGCCAGTGAGTTACCCCTCTAATTAAGAGACCAGAATCGCAGCACCTCTGTCTCCAGAACAATTATCCAATTAGACGAGACGCTGACGTTTATCTCAATGAACTGGACAAAGAGAATCCATTTGTCCATCCATCAGCCCAACGCGTGTGTGCATTTACTTTAGCTGGATTCAACTGTTGGTCAACTCGCCGGTTATGCGCTAATAACCTCCCTGGAGGATCAATCGCTCCAACTTAAACACTCACAATGGTACAGTCAAACTAGATTGCAATTGTGCTTTCTTTGTCTGCTGGTATCGTTGCATGGTGTCTCAATTGCTTTCTTTGGCAACACAACTATATTCAGGTGGAGATCAATGTAAAGTTCAAACAATCAATATTTCAGGTGTCATTTAAATGGCTTATAGGTGTAATTGCAACTTTTGCAGCAACTGTGGATTGGATAACAATTCAAGAGAATGTTTTTAAGCAGGGGAAAAAAAGGAGCGTGAACTTCAACTCATTCACTCAATATTTTCATGTCGCCAAAAAAAGCATTGATTTTCAATGATGTTCTCAGAATAAAACAAGCTTGACAACATTAGCCACCATCATCCGCGCCCGCTGACTGCTGCCAGGCCGCTTTACATTCCTCCATCACTTAAAGGGGGGTGCTGTCCTTAGTGCTGAAACAGAGCCGAGAAAATTGATAGACAGAACGCAGTCTCTTCATTCGGTTTCTTCGCCAAAACCGGTATCAAACCCCTACGAACAGCTGTTTGGTCGACGAGGGTTCGATATCGAGCAGAATACCTCCCTTCTGCCCCCAAAGTTTCCATTTGTTAACTCTCTCAGCTCCTTGGCTGTTTGCACTGTTGGAGCTGTCAGCACCTTCGGCTGCTCGTCTCCACACTGAGAGTCGTGTGGAAACAATCCCTCAATCATGGAGATTTTCTGAATTGGCAATTTAGCACATATTCGCTTTTATAGTTTTTTTTAATCTTGCTGCATAATGCATGCATGATGATGATGTTACTTCCAGCTAGGACCCCACACACTACATAGAGTTGAACAATCCAATAGAACCAAATTGTTTCAAAAATAAGCACAACTTCCCCTTTTCGCACAACAGCCTGTCGTCAAGTTATGCTACGTTATGTGCTATGCCGTGTTATGTTGCAGAGTCGTGTGACGAAGTAGCGCAGTAGGTGTCGATCCTCCCGTCAGGGTAGCTGTTAGCGCTTTCCTCCACAGTATCACTGTAGCCGTTCTGGCTTCTAATCACAGTGATTACCTAACCACAGAGGCCCTTAAGTGCTGTTTGTCTGAACTCCTCTCTGCTCTGTCTCTCTTTCACGTTCACCCTCCTCTGGCGCTCCTTCTTTATCCTCCTGTCCTCTTCCCTCCATCCACCATATCTCTGCCTCCTCCTCTCTTTTCTTTTCTTCCCCCAATTTATGCTCATACCGCTTTCCATGCTGTCCTGTGGAAAAGGAGTCACACTGGTTTGCTTGTTCTTTTCTCTCACTTTCTAGTAGGTGCCTTCTCATGTCCTCACCCTAAATGTTACTTTTCTTTTTGCAGGAAGAGTTGGTGGCTCTAAAAAGAAATAAATGTCATGAGATCCTACAAATCCTCAGGATTCATCCTCTGAGCCTTAAAGATATCTGTAACTATTTAAGTGCCCTTAAATGGGAGATGAGATATCTGAGTGTGGTCAGAATCTTTGGTCCAAACTTCATTGCCGTCCTCAGAGCTGCACTTCTCAACAAACATGCTCTCCAGGAATAACAGCACACCCATCTTCCCCCTGGGGCCAACGCAATCTTTTAAAGGTCACGCCGGCGTATAACGCAGGGAGACGGTGAATAAGGGGGGAGGGGAGAGAGAATTATTGGACTGATCAGGGGTTGGGGGGGTTAAGAAGAGGGGAGTAAAGGCAACCAGTGAGTAAAGAAGAACCTCATAGCAAACCGCAATCATCCCTCTGCCTTCAAGGTCGGGTGGGGGAGGACAGATTATCTTTCCGTCGAGGTTGGAAATAGTTCAGCGCGAGAGGATGGGGGAGAAGGGGAAGAATGGAGGAGGAGGTGGAGGAGGAGGAGGAGAGGACTGAGGAGCAGGATGGAAGAGGAGGAGGAGAGGACTGAGGAGCAGGATGAAGGAGGAGAGGACTGAGGAGCAGGATGGAGGAGGAGGAGGAGGAGGAGGAGAGGACTGAGGAGCAGGATGGAGGAGGAGGAGGAGAAGGAGAGGACTGAGGAGCGGGATGGAGGAGGAGGAGGAGAAGGAGAGGACTGAGG